TGTACACTCTTCCTATGGTTGCCCCCTGTGGTTGTAATGCAACCATTAGCCAAATATACTATCAATAAAATCCTGAGACGCAAGTACTCACCTTAATATTTAAAAAAAAAAAAAAAGAATAAAAGATAGTTATTTATTATTAGTACATATTTTGTAATTTAATTTATTAATAAATTTTTTAGTTTAAATGATGAAGTTGAGAAGCTTAGAAGTGAGCTAGAACAAAGAAAGAGGCAGTATGAAGAAGCTCTTAAAAGAATTTATAATGCATATCAAAACACAATGAGGGATTAATTAAATGAACTTAATGATTTACGAGATAAAAATAATAATTTATGAATTGAAAATAATCACTCGGAAAATTGAATTTATTTTTAAAAACTGGTATTAGATTGTTGCAAGAAATAGCAGAAGTTACAACAATGAATATTGATTAGGAGGTTTTTTTTTTATAAAATGAATTATTAATTTGATATATTTCTGATAGAAATTTTCATAGAAATTTAAGTTAAATTTTTTGGTTTAATAAAAATAAAATTTGAGCTTAAAGAAATTTTATTTGTACTATTTTTTAATATGTAAATAAACATAGATGTTTGCAATAATTTTATTATTTGTTAAATTTTGACAAATTTTAACAACTCTATCTTTATTAACAGCCTTGACCTTTTTTCTTGGATTTGAGCAAATGAGTTTTTTTATGATTTGCAAAACATTAACATAAAAAAAAATTTAAAGAATTCGAACTTACTATAGGGTCACGGCAATTAACTAAGAGATTATTTCTGTGTTTGATGAAATATAATATAAAAGCCACTCTAATTAAAGTTCAATTCAATTATATAAATTAACTTTATCAATATATTTTACAATTTTAATTATTATATGCTCTATATGGAATCATTGTTCATGTTATATTAAATTGATTTTTGTATATATAATAGGGATGCAACTATTTGATATATAATGTGATTTAATTCTTAGAATCTCAAAAAAAAAAATGGTTCGAAAAAACTCAACCATTAGCCATTTAATTAGAATACTTAATTCACCTGAATCAACTCCAAAGCAGATTCAAAATGCATTCTTTAAGTATTTTGAAAGTACCAGAGATTATTATAAATGTAGGCTTCACTATAACAAAATAACAAACGAAGAATTCAACGAACATGACAAACTTCTTGATGCTTTAAAAGCTCAAATAAAGTTAATAACCACTAAAAATATTAGATTAGAAGGAAGAATTAACAGATTAAATAATAAAGATACTAATGCTACTTTTCTAACTGAAATAATCTTATTAAAAAATGAAAATCATGATTTAATAAAGAAAAACGAAGCCTTAAAGATGAAGAATGAATCCTTCACAATGGCTTTTTTAAATTCAGCTGTGATATATAGCAATAATGAAAACCAATATGAAAGTACAATTAAACAACAAGCAAATGTGATAAATAAACATCGATGAATTTTTCAAGTGATTGCCTCTTATTTTCAAGAAAATAGTATTGGTAAATTTAAGGTTTCTTTTTCTTTTATCTCTAAAATCACCTAACAATATTTTTCCTTAAGATTTTAATAAGGTTAATAGTTTTTTACAACTACATGAAATTGATACTCAAATACATTATTTGAGTTTTGATGATATCATTAATGCATTGAACGAAACAGAAAATGGATTATATTACACACTTTCTTTTTATTGATATCAGTGAAACTAAATTCATCCAGTATGATGAAGAAGGAGAATGCTCCAAATCTGCTAGAAAATAGTAACTTTGTTCCAAACAATTTTGAGTCTTGAAATCTGCTTTCAAGTCACTCTGTTTTGATTGTTTTATTTTATACATAATAACTCAAATTTTTTGTCAAAGCTAATGAAGCTTATAATTTGTTGAACTTAATTACCCTTGCCCAATTATATTCATGTAATTTCATTTTGTTATTGAATAACATTTTGTATTAAATATAAGATTCTTTTACTTTAAAATAAATAATCATGAAATGCTTACATTAAGTCATTTTAACATTTTGTTTCTATTTGACCTACATGTCTATCTTGCCTAGTTTAAACTTATTGTAAAATATATTAAACTAATGACTACTTTGACAATTTTTGAACTTAAAATTCTCAATAAGTATCTCATCATTTTAGCAGCACTAAAACACAATCAAATAATTAATTTATTATTTATCTATACACAAATTTTAGCAAAATAGAAGAAAGTTATTCACGAAGTTCAATAAAATAATTTATTGCCTCTTGAGAATACTTGAAATTTTATTTTTGCGAGCAAATAAAATATAATAAAAAAATCAATTTTTGATATAAGAATTAATATTTAAAAATAAAAATGAAATACATAAAAAAAACTCTTATCAGAATATAATTTCATTATTTAAGAGCAGTGCAAGATGGCTGGTTCAACAATCCATACTACATTTTTTGTTTAGAAAAATAAAAATATGAATACAATTCTAGGAAAAAAAACTTTACTGAAAAAAAAAAATCAAAATACATAAAATAAGTAGTAATAAATGTAAGGCAGCCAAATAAAAGATAAAATAGCCAATATAGCAATTCATTCTACATCATGATTTAGAAAAAATATAGAAAGAAAAACATAAAAATTAAATACATAATTTTCAAAATAAAAATAAAATAATTTCATTATTTAATAAATGCAAGATGGCCAGTTTGGCAATCTATTCTATATTTCTTGCTCAGAAAAATAAAAGTATAAAACAGCCAATATGGCAATCCATTCCGCATCGTGATTTAGGAAAAAAAAATATAGAAAGATCTTCGAAAAGGAAAAAAAATATTAGTAACCATATAATATATTAATTCAAAATAAAAATTAAAATAAAGTTACTTTTCTGTTCACACTTCACATAATTATTTTTTAACAGACATTACAATATTATGCTAATCATTACTAGATCAGTTTCATTAATCTTTTTTAGGTGTGTTGAGTTTTTTAATTTGTTTCTTTTTTCTTGTATAGTTCTTGAAGTTCGGATGTAACTGCTCGGAATATTAGCAATGCTTGATTGATTGCACAACTACTTTTACATAATTAATCATCATAGCGATTACTTCTCTAAATTTATAATATTGCTAACATCACAACATGGATTTCTGACAAGGCAGGTTATTGTAATATCTATTGTCAGAAACGATATAAAGAAGAAATTAATTCAGTTTTATAAAATAATTATATAAATTACAAATAAATTTTTTACTTCTCAAAATTAACTTGATACAATTTTGATATAAGAAATGATAATAGAAGAAGTATAGTAACTAACAAAGAACAGTCTGGTAGTCCAGTGGGCTCACAATAAGAAGCATAAGAAAATTAAAGATGTTTGATGAAAGACGAGATTTCTTAATTTATTTCGAATTGAATAACAAAATGACTTTTTCTCAAAAAAGTGAAAAAACATTAGCAACTACATATTATATTTAAATCAATAAATTTAAATTAAGTTATTTTCCTATTAATGAAAATAGACTACTTTCTTTCAAAAAATAAAATATTAGTAACCATATAATACATTAATTCAAAATAAATATCAAAATAAAGTTAATTTCCTGTTACGCTTCACTTTTGATTATTCTTTAGCATCTACATTATTACATTTAGGTCAGCTTTAATACTTTTAAATTTTATTACCAAGAAAGTCATCATCATAAAAATTAAATTGACTAAATAAATCCTTAATTCTTAATCTGATTTTGATGACAAGTTTTCTATCATAGTATCCAAAAGGATTTCTATAAATTAATAAAATATTAAAGAACAGTTTATTGAGCATATAGACAAAATCTAAAGAAGAATTTAATCCAGTTTTATGAAATAAAATACATAAACTTCAAACAAAATTTTACTTCTAAAATAATAAATTTAGTTTCTTAATCTGGTTTTGTCATTAGAAACAATGCCAAAACCTCATATATCAAAATTAATAAGTCGAAAAGATTACTGTTAATAAGAACAATATAAGTCTAAAATAATAATTTTATTATTAACGAATATCTGAATCACATCTCATATGATTTATCTTTTATATTTTTATCTGTGAAACCATCTAGCAGTGCAAAATTACAAGGATTTCCTTTAATTATGTAAAAATAAGTATCAATTAAAAAAATGATTTTCACAAGGATTTCTTCAGTCATATAAACCTTAAAGGAACCAATTTTAGCTGTGTAAACATCAAAACAAGTCAGCCATATAGTTGTTAGATGAAACAATATGATGCTAAATGCCACATATCATTATTTAATAAAAAACTAGATTAAATTTTTAGGTCTTGGTATTTTATAATAGGTGATGATTATTGTCACATAGTTTCGTCTAATAACTATAAGTTTAGCCATATAAGAATATGCACTAATTAAAAATATTTTTTTATAAGAATTTCAAGTTTAATGCATGTGAAACACTTAACCTTTAAAAGTAGCTGTGTAAAAATCAAAACAAGTTCAGCTATATAAAAATAAGCATCAATTAAAAAAATTAAGGAGATTGTAAACCAATTTTGGCCATGTAAACTATTTAGTCATGTAAGAATATGCACTAATTAAAAATATTTTCTCATAAGAATTTCAAGTTTAATGCATATGAAGCACTTAAACTCTAAAAGAAAAAAAAGTTTGTAAAACCCTTTACTCATGTAAAAATAAAACAAATTTATCTGTGTAAACTTTAAAGAAAAAAGGAATTTGTAAAACCCTTTAGCTGTGTAAAAGTTAAATAATTTATCTGTGTAAAAATAAGAATGAGCACCAATTAAAAATATTTTCTCAAGTTTAATGCATGTAAAAAACTTCAGCTGTGTAAATCTTAAAAGAAAAAGGAGTTTGTGAAACCCTTTAGCTGTGTAAAGAAAATTGTGAACTAATTTTAGCTGTGTAAAAATAAACAAAGTTCAGTCATATAATAATAAGCACCAATTAAAAACATTTTCTCAAGTTAATGCATATGAAACACTTCAGCCATGTAAAATTAGTTAAGGATATTGTGAAACCATTTAGCCATATAAGAATGTACACCAATTAAAAATATTTTCTCATAAAGATTTCAAGTTTAATGTATGTGAAACACTTAAACTCTAAAAGAAAAAGAAGTTTGTAAAAACCTTTAGGCATATAAAAATAAAACAAATTCAGTTGCATAAATTTTAAAGGAAAAGAAATTTGTGAAACCCTTTAGCTGTATAAAAATAAAATAATTTATCTATGCAAAAATAAGAATGAGCACCAATTAAAAATATTTTCTCAAGTTTAATGCATGTGAAAAACTTTAGCCATTAAACCTTAAAAGTAAAAGGAGTTTGTGAAACCCTTTAGCTGTGTAAAGAAGATTGTGAACCAATTTTAGCTGTGTAAAAATAAACAAAGTTCAGCCGTATAAGAATGAGTACTAATTAAAAATATTTTCTCAAGTTTAATATATGTGAAACACTTCAGCCATATAAACTTTAAAAAAAAAATGAGAAAAACTTTACTGTGTAAACCTTAAAAGAAAAAGGAGTTTGTTAAACCCTTTAGCTGTGAAAAGAAGATTGAACCAATTTTAGCCATGTAAACTTTAAAAGAAAAAGGAGATTGAGAAACCCTTTAGCTGTGTAAAGATGAGCATCAATTAAAAAATGATTTACATGTGTTGACTATCGATGTAATCAAGAAGGATGTGTTTCTTCTCCCCTATCATATAAAAACAAGTTTAATAATGAAATGATTTTTCTCACAAAGAAAAAAATTTTGTTTAGGAGATTTAGCCATATAAAAACAAGTTCAGCCTTATAAGAATATGCACCAATTAAAAAAATTTTCTCACAAGGATTTCAAGTGAAATACTTTAGATAAACTTTAAAACATTTTCTCAAGTTAATGCATGTGAAACACTTCAGTCATGTAAACTTTAAAAGAAAAAGGTGTTTGTGAAACCTTTAGCTGTGTAAAAGCAAACCAATTTAGCTATATAAAATGAGCACCAATTAAAAATATTTTCTCAAGTTTAATGTATATGAAACACTTCAGCTGCATAAACTTTAATAATGAAGTGATTTTTCTCATAAAAAAAAAAAATTAGTTAAGGAGATTATGAAACCATTTAGTCTTGTAAGAATGTGCACCAATTAAAAATATTTTCACATAAGAATTTTAAGTTTAATGCATGTGAAACACTTAAACTTTAAAAGAAAAAGGGGGTTGTAAAACTCTTTAGCAGTGTAAAAATAAAACAAGTTCAGCTGTATGAAACAATTTAGCTATGTAAAACAAGTTTAATCAGAAATAATTTTTCTCACAAGGAAAAAAAAAATTGTTTAGAAGATTGTAAAACCATTTAGCCATATAAACTTTAAAAAAAAAAGAGTTTGTAAATTCTTTAGTCATGTATAATTTATTTATGTAAAAATAAAACAAATAAAGCCATATAAGAATGAGCACTAATT